GGCCATGCCGGCGAGAGGCGGCCTCGGGCGCGCGGTGCGTACGCGCGCATCATGTCTAGATGTGTGTGCGCATGTGCGTGCGTATGTGCGTGCGTGTGCAAGACGTACGCGGTGGTGTCCCGGGGCCCCGACGCGGACACAGCGGCCCGTGTGGGTGTGGGCGTGGGCGGACGGGCGGGCAGCGGGCCTGGCGCGCCCCTCGGGGAAGCACCGGTCTCGAGGCACGGCACGTGGCGCTGCACAAGACGGCCGCGCTCTGCTCACGGCGGGATCCTCTCCCCCCCGCCCGCCTCGGCAGCAGCTGTCTGCCCCGCTCGCGGAAGCCTTTGGGAAGGAGCCTGGCCCGGCCGGCGCCACACGTGGCATCACTCTGACAAGGCGGAGCAGCAGGAAAGCGGCTTGTCCCCCAGGCTGGCTTGCCTTCCCTGCCCCCCCAGGGTGGTAGGGGCTGGCCCCCTACTCGAAGCTTTTAGTGCGGACCCATTCCCTCCTCCTCTCCCTGTCCAGAAAACAGCCAGCATTTGGGGCGCTCCGCTCACCTGCTCCAGGCAGAAAGCACTGCGGCCCCACAAGGTGCGTTCTTACCACCAGCGGTCGCAGACCGCACTCGGGTTATCCGCCATCACTGCAGCGCACTGCTACAGCTTAAGGCCCCTCAGTCCCTTGCAATGGTCTTCCGTGGCCAGCAGGCAGCCAGCTGCTAGACTCGCTTCACTACATCTTTGAAGAGATGAATTTTTCTTTTTAAAAAATAGCCTGACTCAACTGGAAGTCGATGATGATGGAAGTTAAAGAACGGAGACAGGCACGAGGAGGTGAAATTCAAGTACCCAGTGTTAGAAAGAGATCAGTCCAGATCGTCTTTATGGCCCCCCCCTTTGGGTCTTAAAAGTATATGGAATTTCTGAAGGACAGCTTGGTAACAAATGATCACATTTTTATTGAAACAATTTAAAGACACAGAGTACAAATGGATACAGTTAAAAACAGCCCCCAGGCGGGTGCTTCACAGTGCAAAAAAACCCCACAAACGTAAAACCTTTTTTCAAATAATTATAAAAGACATTTTAAAGATTTAATCTGTTTTTACTGAAAGCCAAAGTATAAAAAACACACATTTATAAATAAAGGGTTTTTTATTATTATTTTAAAATGGTGGAGGAAAAAAGGTAGTGTTGAAAAAACACAGGAAAAGAGTTTTATATCTGGTGCCTATGGCATAGCTAAGACATGCAGCGTGGACATGGCTTATTCCTAAAGTTGCTGCACCATGCATTTCTGTCCATGCTTTACAGCAGATAACCCACATGAATATGCAATCCAACTTGGTGTATTATTTACAACAAGCAATCTGGAATTGTGGACACTCCAGTCTTACCCACAGAAGGAACCATCTGCTCATCAATCACTCAAGAGCTGAAAGGAGTCCTGTCTTTTTTAATGAGGCTTTTTGTCATTTCATATCTGTAATTTAATATCTGGCGCGCGAAGGGGAGAGACTTACATGTGTATGACTTAAACAATATTTAAATACCTCAATTTCTGGGTTTTTAAAAATTTATATTATGTACACACACTTAAAAAAAAAATAGAGTCCATATGTTTTAATCTCCTTTGGAGAAACATACAGATTCCTCTGAGGTGGAGTGAGATCAGTAGGATGATCAGAAGGGTGCTGAAAGGCCTGCCCCAGCCATTACCTGGGAGATTCAATAGAAAGGAGACAACCTGAGAGAGAAAATGGAAGAAATGCAGACTTGTATAAGAACACCAGTTGTGTGCACCAGTTTGACCAGGGAGAAAAGCAAAGTGATTTGTACTTGAGAGAACCACACACAAGGGATTTGCTGTCTTGTCAGATTCAAGCACTTCTTACTGCACCAGGCTGTTCACAGGTCTTTGTTCCCTGTTCTATGGGCTTGCTCAGGAAAAGTAATACAATCTACACCAAGCTGAAAAGAAATACTATTGTATTTCAGCCACGAGTGTGCTGGTAAGAGGGATGGAGTTTATGCGGAAACGACACACCGTCAGACCAAAAATTCTTTTACAGACTTCTCTAAACAGTACATTTTTTTCACACACGTTGTTTTACATCTGTATACGTGTGCATACATGCACCTGTACACCTAGTAAAGGCCAGACTCCAATACTGCTCCTCCTCTTCATTGTCCAGCTGTCATTGTTCAGATTTTCTCAACCCAAGCAACAGAATAAGCCATGATGAAAGCATATGCTTTATATGCAGGTCAAATGTAGGCCACATGGCCAGCAGCTACCACCTTGTTGAGGACATTTGTATTCCAAACTGGCAGTTTAGGCAGCGTGCAGCCAGCAATGGGAAGTCACCAGTGAATAACCATCTTACATATGTTGTGTCAAGCTTTCAGGCTAGAGAAACTGCAATACTTTCTTTCCTCAAACATTCTCAGCAACCAACTTGTAGGGACATCACCTTTATTTCATCAGGCTTTAGCTGCACAGCTCTTCTTAAATGGTAAAGCCTTAGGCAAATGGTTGAATCTTTCCAAACCTTCTAAAGAAACAGCTTAGATGGAAGCAAGTGGGAAAACGAGGCACAATAAAAAAAGGTTCTAGAAAAAACTCTCCCCTCCTGTCTATTTATACCGCTACGCTCAGTCCTAGTTCTACCTCCCTGAAGCCATAAGTCTACTGTACTATATCTTTCATAGCCATTGTTAACCAATCTATATTCTTGAACCCAAGCATATTTCTATTCCTAATGCTATTCTCCTGAAACTCCTGCTTCTATTCTAATTTATCTAAGCTACTCTACTCCTCACCCCTGGCTGATCTACTTGCTTAAGACCACACCTAGCACCATTCTAACCTGACAGCTGCCCCTTGTTTATTGTTTTCCCCATCAACACTCAAGACTACAGGCAAAGCCCAATTCTGGCAAGCACAAAAATCCTGTTCATATTTTAAAGTTAATTTCAAGTAAATTATTTGGAGGGAGCCCTAGTTCACAGCACCAAAAATTCTATTAGCTCTTCCTTTTTACCTCCAACAATTCAAGTTAAATCATGGACTGGTTTAATGTATCCAATCAGAATGGCTCTGAAGCACATTTCTATTCCCTCCAGCCTCCTGAAGCACTCTCCCCATTCCCTTTGTTGTTGCCACCTCATTCTTTACATAAAAATAATAAAGGGAATTAAAATTGTTTAACAGAAGGAAGATAAAGAAACCTCAAACCACTATCGTAAGTATCAGAAGATACTTTGAAGAATCTGCTATTTTACCTGAGAGAGTCTGTGGCCTAATACAGCAAGAAACCTCCTGTGTACTGAAATGTACCTTTTCACAGTCTGAAAGTGGAGGAAGAAAACCTGGTAATCACAAAGACAGCCTAAATTGGGCTATTTAAACCATCATATAAACCAACATGATTGCCACCATCTATTCCACTAGCAAGTATCCCCTAGGGAACTTTTGTCTGAAGAGACTCCCAGAGCTTTTCTCCTTTCTGAACAGCTCCCTCCCCTTGGCTAGAAATGCTACCCATAAAACCCTGGCACACCATCCGATTCAGAATTATGTAATGGTGGGAGAAGATCACCAGGATAGAACACCTTGAGACTTAAACTTTGAATTAAAATACAGCCCTATTTAACCAGATGTTACACAGGATGTTCAAAACTTTTGGAGACAGATTTGATTTCTGGAGGAACCAGCTGGAAGGCTCAGAAATACATTTCCTTCATGCTACCATGCCTTCAGTCCTGAAACTCAATGAACTGATGACCAGGTAGCAAATAGAGCAAAAGCCCTGCGGTGCATAGAGAAGGGTCAGCTGGCCTTGGATCAGGCTGCACTACAGGTCTCCAATCCCAGAATGCTTCTAAGTCAAGTTACCAGCTGGCCATATTCCAGAGTACCACAGGATCAAACAGCCAGCTCTCCCACTTGGAAAAAAAGTTGCTTCAAGTCCTTGAAAATTGAACAACGCTTTGTGCACTGGCCAACTTTAAAGAACCTCTGTTGATGTTGTCAAACATTTCCATTCAAGGCTAGATTAACTGAAGCATGGCTGACATACTGGGGTTGTATGAGTCTTGAAAAAAAAGCAGTGGTGAAAGAGGAACATTTCAGGCAGAGAAAAAATGTGAATACTCTATGTAACTATCCTTTGGGGGGGGGGGGCAAGTAAATTGCATCTTATTTTACTAGCTTATTCATATTGAAAAAGCGCAATATTAGGTACAAGCAAAGACACAACAATGCACAAATTATCGCTGGTTTGGAGAAAGGCAAGGCAAGAAGGGTATTGCACACTGAATTCTGCAGGGGCTAGGGTTTCTATTTCTCAACTGAAAGACCCATTAAAGGAAAAAAAAATAAGGGAAGGATGCTACCAATTATATTCCTCAATAACCTATATCTAGACCTGTAATGAATACTGGCTACTCAAAATTCCTGGGAGGTCATTTTCTGTAGTTAAGTAGAATGGCTTTAGAATATGCTTCTCTGGGCTGTAGATATTGTTTTCTTGTAGAAAGAGAGAGCGCGCTATTAGCAGATTTTCCTACCACAACAATGAAAGCATCAAACTGGCATTAATCAAAAGCTGCATCGATCCTTTCTGCTATCAAAGGCATCACATAAAGAGATAGAAGCCCTGCCTTCCACCCCACTTCTCCAAGAAAACATTTAACACAAAAACTCCTTCTCAAAGTCATACAGACATCAAGAAATTAACATCCAAATTCAAAATACAGAATATGACTCAAATGATCTTTGCATCTGTATTTACATTTCTTCAATATTTAAAATCTTATTTTTTGTGTCTGATGAAAGACCCAAACTGAAGTATGTGAACACCAACTGTATCAATTTCATTTTTAAAAAGCTGCTATCATTCTTGTTTAAAACAAAAAAATCTTGAAAACCTTGGTCCTTCAAGGATCAGAGTACTCTCCCCTTGAGGTGAATGCAGATAAATTATAGCTGAGACATTTTTTTAAAATAAAAAAAGCATGAAAAGCAGACAGGGTAACCATGACAACAGGAGGATTACTGAAGGTAGAAAACCAGACACATGGGAAAGGAAGATCAAGACAGGATGAAGCAGAAACTAGCTCAGTAATTGCACAGACACTCCAGCCTGCCTCCCTGTTGAGGTTTACTATAATACAGAGATTGTGTCTCGCTGGGATGTGACAAAAGAGCAAAAAATAAAAGGAAAGGAAATGGTCACCATAACATGTGACAACATTAGAGAAACAGTCAGGAAAAATAAATTAATAAATAAAACTTTTAAGAGTCTGCATTTGGATTCTGATGAAACTCTGGAGAGGGAGTGATTGGCTTCATCCACATCTCTTTCAACAGTCAGCAGTTCAGAATTTCTTGGATAAACTGGATTTTTTTGTTCCTATTGGAGATGCCAAACATTCTGGCTATGAAGAAATTTCTAACAAGTTTCTCTACACTTCTTTTTCAAAACAGTGTGTCCAGAGACAGAAAGCTGAAGAGCAATGGAAAAAGTTATTAAAACTGTGGCCAGCACATTACTAAAAACTATGGCAAATCAGTTTTATGGGCCTGAGGAAAGCAGTTTTAAAAAACATCTTTTCCCCCTTTCAGATAAGGGTGCAGATAGCATTTGTCTGAGTCTTCCACTGTGGTCTTCCTCCTGGAGCTATTTCCATGTATTAAAAAACATTTTTCCTTAAAGTCATCTCTTTAAATGTCCATGCGCCGTTTCACAGCTTGCAGCAATAGCTCTGAATACTGTTCTAATAAAGCCAGAGTCTGCTCATCTCCCAAACTCCTAGGACTGGATAGGATGCTTCCATGTTCCTCAGTCAGCTGTCTAATTTCCTCTTGGGGCTTTACCACCACTTTCTTGGCCTTTGAGAGCTCTGCTCCCTCCTTTAGTGAATCCAGTTCTTTCTTCATAGAGGTGAATGTCTCTGTCAAAAGGCCAGCTATCTTATCTTTGTCAGTAGAAGACTCCATGTCAGTTGACACCTGGCAAGAAAACAAATTAGCAATGCAGTTAGTATTTAGATACATTCATAAAGAAGGCATTTTCAAACTTTGCGCTTTCATCCTACAGACATGCCTAAGAAAAGGGTAAAATGGCTGCAATATCAATATTCTTCAAGTTGTACTGGAGAGTGCATGTGCATTTATCTAGAGAGTCAAACTACTACTGCATTTCATATTTGCTAATCTCTTCCTTGGGCATGAATTAATTCATTAAAAATAAATCTTAGTATTTCTGTAAGCACTCTGCATCTTAGGAGCACTATATATTTATTAACTAGTCCATGTAATACCCGTGTAAGGAAGTTTAATATGACCGTATGTAAGATGAAGGTAACAGTAATTGTTACAATAAGGTACCAAAATTAGAATGCAGGCATCCCTGACTCCTAGTTCCAATCTCCAGTGTAGTCAGTAAGCCAGATAACAGCCAGAAGAAAATTCAAATCCATCCAGCATCTGCATGTGTTAACCTGCAAACTCTAGAATCAAACTGACCAACTAAATCTAAAGGGTCTGAGGTCACTCACCATGTGGTAAAGATGAATGGCCTTTCGCATGCTGTCCTGGAGCTCAGATACAACATGTTCACATTGCTCAAGGCTGACAGAAGATTCTGAAGAGGGAGAAGAAACAAAACGACTAAGCAAAGAGCACCCCCCAACATCTTAGACCCCATCATTTGACAGGAAACCCTTCTGGAGAACAAACACTTCTCCAGTACACTTGCTAATACGTACTTCAAAGGTGAGGGACGCTTTTAACTCAATTTTTAAATAAGAAACTAAAAGCATTGGCTTAGGCCAAGCATAGTGTGGGCAAATTCTATGGAAACTTCCCCTGACACTAATTTAAGAAATGCTCCTTGGGTTCTAATATTCAGCACTCCTACTTCTTTTTTTTTTAGCCTATCCTAAGCAAAGAGCAATATCCCAATTTCTGTCACAATGTGTGATGGTTTGGTAACCAAGATTGGCTTGGATGGTTTTAAGCTAATCTCAGCTGGGATTCATGTAGGCCAAAGGCAAGAAGCATTAAACCAAGGTGTTTCTAAGCAACTCCACCTACACAAAACTCCATGCACTTCTAACACACCCTCTTCAGAATGAGACAAGACTATAATGCATTATGAAGAGGAATTAGGACAAGGATTATTCTAAACTATTAAAAGTGTACTATAGTTGGGGAAGCAAAATCCAGCAGTTTCTTGTCAAACAGCCCCATCAGGATAGAAGTGTACTTTGCAAATCCCATGATTGTTATAGCCATTTCAACACAAAACAATGACAACAAACAGAAAAGCACAGCTTCAGCTATTATACCCCTACTAAGAAGGCAGTTTAACAGCCAAAGATATGCAAACTTTCTATACAATAAACATACTGACTTGAACACAAACCAATAGACACAACTTGCAACTATTATGTACTATTCTGAAAGTCACAGGTCAGTTCTATGGAAGATCCTTGAGTTACCTATAAAATAAATAGTGGTCATAAAAGCACTATTACTTTGCTTCTGAACTAGACTCCACCTTTACTTTTTTTCAGTCCTAAAGGCTGGCAAGCTGGCTTGTGTGCGCACGCATGAGTATATCCACATCTACTCCTCTCGGCATATACCAACACAGCAAATTGATGATGCAATTACAATGTGTACTAGTTACCCATGTGCACATACTCTGATCATCAGCATGGTATCTTCAATGCTACTGTTACCTATCCAAGCTAGATTCAACTAGCAGAATCAAGCTAGCATATGCTACAATCACGCCATCTGTAGAACGGTTAACTACTATCTGACTGAGCCTTACACCGAAACATAAGATAGAAAAGAAATAGAAATTAAGGAGAAAAAGATGTCAGCAGCCCGAAGTGTCTCACCATTGAGGGGATGATTTATGGAACGAGACAGGTGCAGACAAGACGAGACAGGCCAGAAGCTGGACGTAAAGAAATGTGATGGAATCGTGAAGCGATTCACAGAGACAGGAGACAGAAGGGGAAAGAAGGCTAGAGATGTGTATCCATGCACACCTGAGACCTGTGCTGAGGCAGCTACTGTTGTGGGAGACCTCGACCTGATAGGATCTAGTGGGCAAAGTCCAGGCGGGTTTTCTAGCACACAGCTGATGCTGGAGACCTCCTCTCTGCATCTGGGTGGTCTGCTTTCAGGTGAACTAGGGTGCAAACCTTCTGAAAACTCTTTCAGTTTTGGAGTAGTAACTCCTGGTTCATCCTGGCAATCTGTCCTCAGTGAGGGATTCTCATTAACAGGTCCCACTGGGCTCTCTTTACTAAGCCCGACAGACACGCAAATCTGGCTCTCTCTCTTAGAAGCCCGTCCTTCTGGAATGGATGATTTCTTTTTACAGCCCCCAGCAGGTGACTGTGGAGACTCTGGTTCAAGTGGGGTTTTGGATTTGGTAGTAGGTGAGAAAGAAGCCAATGTAGGTCTATCAGGCAATGGTTTGGGGATGTCAAGAATTAGGTGTGCCCGGTTTGATGATGCCAATTTGCTGTGGAAGGACTTGGGAGATGAACAGTTTACAGCTTGTTGAAGAGCTGGCTTCACTGGGACATTTTCTTTCAGAGGTGGTTTATTCTTCTCAGTCTCTGATGGTGGATTTAACTGGTTCTTCTCTGGCACCTGTGGGCTGGTCCTCCCCTCAGTCAATGTTTCAGCAAAGTCACTAAGGTGCAGATTTTCCCCCACAGAGATGCTACGTGACATCTTGGCCCTAAAACTGGTTGTAGGGTTCATGTAGGACTTGGGTTTTGTAGCCTTGGCATCTTTAATCAACAGGGAGCTGGACTTTAGCAGACTTGTTGGCGATGTCCTGCAAGGATTAGATTTGGAATCTTTCTCAACAACCGCTAGTGTCTGAGGCCGCTCCTTGGCAGAAGATAACATGCCTGGATTTTTATCTGTGAGAAATTAAACAAACATATAAACCATATAGAACTGATGCAGCAAATAATGCAATTAGAAAACATCAAAACTGCTCCAGTTTATTTACTTCAGCTCAGCTTCTAGAGAAGCATTTAGAACTACTGAAATGGTATTAAAAAATTGACAGGTCTCAAAAATATACCTGCTTCCCTTTCTTTACTCCCCTTACCGCTCTCATTAAACACTGTTGTTTGCTTAAAGAAAAAGTACCTCTTGCAAGATGCAAGTTTAGAGCACCTTAGAAACAGGAACTTAGATGAGTGAGGAAATTAGACGAAATGCGTGAAGCAGTTTTCATCTCTCACTCTGGCTCTTCAGTCCACCCACTTGTATACAGTACTGTGGTTATATTTCTTAGTTATTATTTTACTTTTTAGTAGCTTGCTGCACAAGATATATTATTAATTTAAGTCTACTGAAACTCAGCACCCCCATTTAGAGTTACATGGTAGTCCAAATAGTTTCCTTACCCTCACGAACAAGGTCATGAACTGACTGGGATTTTCTCATCACTGAATTCCCAATACCCTCTGAGAAGGGTGTGATAACTCTTCCAGGTCCCATAGCAATCCTACTGGCCTCCAAACCTGACTTTTGTTTTCTCTGAGTATAAATCAAACGCTGGGAACTTATACTGTCCAGAAAGCTGCCATTCTCCAAGGCAGTGCTAGCAGGGCCATGGCCATTTTTTAGCAGGTCAGCAGAAATCTGCTTCAGGTGGGCTGATGACTCAGTGGACTTTTCCCCCAGACTCAGATTTGATGAAGAGAGTGACAAGTGCCTACAGAAACAAAACAAAACAAAAAAAAGAGGATAAACTCTCAAGAATGCAATAACTGAAACAGTTAAAACATGTAAGTAGGAGACATTGGGTGAAGAGCTGATTTTGCAAGGGCAAAAAACAAGTTCGGTTCATTTGCCACGTCAAGCCAGTCTATACTGTCACCACATTTTTGTCCTTCCTGTGGTTGCACTGATCTGAAGACAGAACCACAGAAAATTAGGATTAGAAGGGACCTCAGGAGGGCTCTAGTCCAACCCCCTGCTCAAAGCAGGACCAGCCCCAACTAAATCATACCAGCCAAGCCTTTGCCTAGCCAGGTCTTAAACCCTCCAAGAATAGAGTCCACAACCTCTCTGGGTAACCTGGTTCCAGTGTTTTTCTACCCTCCTAGTGAGAATTTTTTCCCTACTATCTAACCTAAACTTCCCATGCTGCAACTTGAGAACATTGCTCCTTGTTCTGACATCTGCCACCACTGAGAATAGTCTAGCTCTGACTTCTCTGGTACCATCTTTCAGATAGTTGAAGGCTGCTATTAACCTCCCCCCTCCACACAAATCTTTTCTTCTCCAGACTAAATAAACTCAGTTCATAGATTCATAGATGTTAGGGTAGAAAGGGACCTCAATAGATCACCAAGTCCGACCCCCTGCATAGGCAGGAAAGAGGGCTGGGGCTAGATGACCGCAGCTAGATGGTTAACTCATCTCCTCTTGA